TTTTTTTTTTTTTTTTACGAAATCATCACACCCTCTGTTTACTATTTTTCACGTTTCCTGTGTATATACGTAACACCGACTGGCACAGAAATTCGCGCGTCGACAAAAACCGTCGATCGTGATAATAACCCGTTCAAAAGCAAATCTTTTCGGTTGAACATAATTCTTTTCAAAAGCATATTGGGTGGTAAAGCACCCAATACTTGGAACACGTTTCAAGATATTAGGTGCAGAAATGATATTATGTCGAAATTAATTTCGTTACATTCAATCGTATGTGACTACAGTTTAAGTAAAAATATTTATTCGACATTTCGTTACATCGGATTTGATGACGTTACAAATTGTGTACTTAATCATTATTAATCACTAGACTGCGGATCTTCGCCTACGAAAATCGAACCTAAACAGGAATTTATTTTATTCTGCAAATATTATAACGTGAACTTTACTTTGAATCTTTTTTATATTCTCGCATATTGTTTGCATTTTGTGGATTTTTGCACATTCAAAATTCCCTATAAATGCATAAATACCCGCAGTCTATTAATCACGTATGAAATATTAACGTATTTTTCTGTTCAGCAGAAATCACGTCGTATGATCACGTATAGCTTTCACTTGCAAAAAGCATTCATTAATGTTCGAATGTTCGAATCGGTATATTTATAGCAAATATTTTCAAATGACACCAGTGTAACGAAATTGTCCAAGCATCGGTCCAATTTTACGCTGTATTCAAGTATCGGGTCTTTTACCTCGAGCCTCGCAACGGACGTCAATCCAGGACACAAAAACAGTGAGAAAAGTGCATACGATCGCATGCCCTATTCGACCTTCTTTTTGAGCTATAGCTATTTGTGTACTCGACGATTCCTAACGCAACGCGCCGTAGTCGGAGACACAGAATATTCGTGATTCTTTCAAAATGAATCATAGAGAACGTACCATGTAAGAAAAATTCATTCTATTCACGCTTCTATTACACGAACGCGTTATTCGATGAGTACAAACAAATATTTTTATTTCTCCTGGAACGTACGTGTCCAGTTTTAGCGTTTTCGCGAAAAGTTTATTTGAAGATTCGATGATACGACGAAAGACGAAGGAATCGATACCGATAGACAGTACCGATATCGTCGAGTTATCGGCCGGTCTGTTCCCTATCGCGAGCAGTTTCTTCCCTTATAAATTGGAAACAAAGTGCACCGCAGCGGATTCGCTTTTTCTGTATCGTTGTGCCGCGCGTACCGATACCGGTCAATTTGCGATGCAGATCATTTTCGTAACGACCGCAAACGCTTCGTCTCTGTCTATCTCGCGGCCGACGGACGTCCTCGAGTTACGTATTTCCATTACCAGAGATCTCGATGTCGCGATTCTTTGCTTTCGAGCATGACGCACCCGTTCCGAAAACTATTCAATTGCCGAAACCGTCACCAGATCCGCAAACGTATCGTCTTATCTCGATATCGAGTGGAATTTTAATTTTAGAATACTCGTTCAGCGTTGTTCTCGTTGATACGATCTGGTTTGTTAACGAAACCTCGAGTCCGTCGCTGTTAATTATTATTATTCATTATTTATCGAGTCCTTGGGCGCAATTAAAATTTTAAACTGTTATTTTAACGAATCTCACCTACTCTTATTGGGTCATTTTCAATATCTCTAGATAATGCAAATGTTATATTAAATTTCATTTAAAAAAAAAAAAAAAAAACAAATAGATTGTTATTGTTAATAGCTAATAGAAAAATTGGTTTAAATTGATTCTTTTCGGTTAAACGTAATTTTTTTTTTTTTTTTTTCTATACGGAAACGAGGAAACGATTAGACATAGGAATATATATTCGCGAAGTAAACTGAAATTAGAAAAGTCTTTTAGAAAATTCTCAAACATTTTGTTCGTTCGCCATATCTCGATTGCCACGTTATCTTTAAATAAATCAAGTGTGGAAATAGCGTCGATAGTAACGTTTGCAGGAGTTCTAGGTATTAATTTTTTTTTTATTATTATTATTATTTTTTTTTTTTCTTTTAGTAAAAAGCTTAAGAGCGTAATTAAAAGATTAAAATGCGAGCAAAAACATAAGAGGTAAACGTTACTTTGTCGATTGATAAGATTAAAAGTGAAAGCTTTCCGTGTGTCATCGAGTTTAGAATCGATAAATTGTCATTAATTTATAAGATAAACGCGGACGTGCTTGACGTTGATTATTAACGCGCGGAACACGATGGCGATTGCATCCGAAAATGGAAATGAAGAAACGTCGAGGAACTTTTACGCGGGAAATTTAAAATTGGTTGTTCGGTTGTTGCGAGTTGAGTCTGGTTTTTCTCTATCTGTTTGCGAACGTGATGGTATGTAGTACGTATTAAACATTTCATATAAATGTTCTACGCGGTTTCACACTACGGATGTCTCTTCTCTTATAAATTGTCGTCGTCGTCGAACGTTAAATATTAACGGAGTAATGCGTTGAAATCGAAGCATTTCTTTGAAAAATTTTTTAAAGATAATACATTAAGCAAATGTTTGTGAGATTCTCACCGAGGAATGGAGAAATTAATAACGAAGGTCAGGTCTGAAAGAAAACAAATCTGGACGGGATTGCGGAATTTCGTTTAGGTTAAATTATTAACCTAATTATACTGGAATTTCACGATTGTACAAGAACAATGTCTTAGCTTCATAAGTAAGTACTTTCACGAGTACCGTCTGGCACTGAAAGTAAATATACATACAGTAAGTGTAAGAAGTATTCGCACAGTAAATAATTTAAAATAAATGCTTCCTGTACAAATACTTCTTACACTGGCTGTGTACGTATATTTAAACAATATATACTGGGTCTGTTTTCAAACGACGATTGAATTACAGACAAACATCCAACCGATACGCAAGGAAGTAAGCGGTACTAATGTAATTTCAACCTTGTTATCGAATGCTGAAAAACAATACCGTGAAAATTCGCCTCGTGAAAACAGCTCGTAATCGCGGTTAATTCAACGTATTCTGTGCTCGAACCGAGTCCCGTTGGCGAAGCTTTACCTTTTTCAGGCAATTCGACGCCGGAGGTCAAACAGTGAATCATGCACGAATAATAGAAACAATAGCAACGTCGGGGGACCTAGCGTCCTCTTCGTCGTGCGAACTCGGCGTCGCTCGGCGACGAACTATTTAAATCTGTTTTTCAGCGCTATTAACCGTATTGTTATCGCATAAAGGAGCTCGGGCGAGGACTCGAGGCCGTTCCGTCGGTCATTTCACGACAGACGTACACAATGCCAGAAACGTCTTGGGGAACGGCTCCCGCAGCTTTTGTCCCTTTCCTTGCCACGGAAATTCTGCTTTTCTACCTGACAACGATCAACGAATGTTACGGTTGCTCGTTAGTGCTTTGTGAACGTGATTCGCTAATATTACGGTGTACGCTACGCGTTACGCGGAAACGTTACGCGTTTTCAAGCTTTAACTTAACGTGCGACGACTAGGACTTTGGTGGCGAGAAGAGAAGTGGTAAGACCTGGAAGCAACCCAGTGCAAACTTGGGATACATGTTAGGTACTTGTAATATTGGTCAAAAGGTTCCTTCGGTTTACTAACTTCAATTCGGCTGTTCGTTGCTTAACCTCCTGTGGAACGAATTTTTGTACGGATCCTCCTTTCTTTTCTCGTTTAATCGAATATACACGAACCAAAGTACGATTTATGTGTAAAACGGTATTTTCAATATTGATGGAAACGTATGTACACATGTGCGTCGATACCTCTCACGAGGTTCGAGTCAGTCGACAGTTTTAAAATCGATTTGTCCCATTTTCATCTTTTTCGCCTTTTGCAAAAATCGCTGATTGGAAAGAAACCCTTCAGACCTGATGCAATATGCATTGACTTTCAGATTATTTTTAAAAAATAAATAATAGGCTCAACATTGCGAATGACTGACAATTTATAATGTCAATTTAATTCTGATTACATGAACACGATGTGTTATTCGCGACAAAACGTTACAATAACACGAGGAGGACTTTATACATGTACCCGTAGCGTATTCTTGACGCTACTTTTTGTCATGGTAACCGATACTTTGTTATCTATTACTAAGAACGAGATAGCATCGTATGCTCCCGTAATTACGTGAATTATAAAATGTTACATAAGTATTAATTAGAAAACGATTCTACTAGATACAACAAACGTTGCATAATACTGATGTTACCAAACTTAAGAAAAAAAAAAAAAAAGAATTTAATTTAATTATACGTCCAACCACTACCAGTTATTAAAGTGTCGAATTTATTTTGATGCAAAAAGTGAATTTTTTATTTTCTTTCACAACAAAATTTCTTGAAAATGAATTAATTTCCGCACCTTGTAATTGTCAAATAGATTTATACTCTCTTGGAAGAACAAAAATAATCAAAACTTGTTAGCTACTGAACTTCGTACGTACAGATAAATTGTAACGATTGTCAGGTCGAGACTTATACGTACACGTACATAGATGTATTTCGATGGAAATCAGATTGACAACATAGAAGGTTGGTAAATTAAACAGTAACGAACCAACAAAAGTAACGAGTTAATATATTTATTTAAATTATCAGTTATAAATAGACTGCTGATTTTGACGCACTTCTAAAATATTTCGATGTGCAAAAATACACACCGTATGCAATAATCTGCAAAAATGTTCAAAGTGAATCTCGCATTGTAATATCTGCAGAGTAAAATAAATTGTTGCTTACGTTCAATTTTTCTGTGTATGTTTGCAAAGATTTTCTTTCGCATAAGAGTAAGTCTAGGTATAAACGATTCAACGTAAAAGTACGGAATTGATTTCTGTTAATTCGATCACATCGTGAAACTGTGCTATGGTAAATAAGAGGGTGCAAAGTAAACTAAAATCCGCAACGTGTTCCGGGAACACCCTGATGTTTACGGTCGTCGGTCGTTACTGGCCATTTCGTAATAGTCGTGCGTCACGTTATACCACGCTCTGATCCTAAAGTTGAAGTCAATTACCAAGCGAAGCATGAAATCTGTCAGCGAGACTGTACAAGTTACACACGGAGAGAGAGAGAAAAAAAAAAAAATGAAGAATGAATTCCGCGTGCTACTGTCGCGAATTCCGTTACCGGATCGGATTAGGTTTTTCTATTCGCAATTTGCATATTCACGACGAAGCAGATGATTGCGGGTTACTTGTTATTAGTGTAATTACTGTGATTGATCTCGTTATGATCACAGATCGCTTGACCCTTGATGTTGATTTTTTTTTGTTTGTTTTTTTTTTTTTTTTTTTTTTTTTTATTTCTTTAGGAAACCGATAGGATAACGTTCGAATTGATTCGTTCGTTTTCTTTTTCCTTACATAGGCAATTAATCGTTATTGACAGAATAGACAAAGATTATCTTTGACGCGCGACACACGAAGAAAATATGTGATTTATTACGATTACGCATCGAATTGTTATTATATATTTGTGCATGTGTTACGGTAGCTGTCATGTAATTGCATCGTATTATGGAAGGAGTGTTTATTATTCGAAATAATTAGCAGACCTAGTAAAGAATATACACCTAATATTCATTGATTAATGTACCGAGTTGCTTCGAATCAAAGTATAGGTGTACTAGAACACCATTGACAAAAGAAAAAAAACAAACGAACCGGTAGGCGTTTGAACGTTTTCAACAACGTTTTGGAACTTTGATCGCTTAAAAAGTATGATTAAATATTAACGAAGAATTATAATTCCACTTCGACCGCAGCTACAAATTCAGGACGATTTCTCTATTTTCGAATCGTACTACTCTAGCCAACCAATACAAATTATTTTTCAAACGTGGTATTTGTACAAGCAAAAAAAAAAAAGAAAACAATACAAGAGAGTTACGCTACCATTTAACAAAATAATTTCATACAGTTTACAACGTAATTGGTAAACTTGCTTTTACTGTATCTTTCGTTAACAGTTTTTTTAAATAAATGCACGATGATTACAGCGGACACGGTTTTAAATATTTGTACAAAATTGAAGAATACAGTCCCCTTTAAGAAGCAACTCTCAAAGATACCGTCATATTTTAATTAACGGAATAAAAATTCTTTTAAGATTATCTGCGCAATGCCTTTTCTAACCGTAATCAGCTACTGTTCGATGAGATGGTTTAATAAATGCAATTGAGAAAGCATCAGCTTTCAATAATTACACTCCACATTATTAAAACGATGGTTGTTAAATAACGACCCGAGTACGGGTCACGAAAGAAACTTTTCGGACAATCTGATATTTAACAAAAAGGAAGGGGCGGCGGCGGGGGGGGGGGG